AAATAAAGCCTAGAGGTAGAGCCTTTGACTATGCTAAAGCCTTTGATTGTGTGGATCATAACAAATTGTGGCAACTTCTTAAAGAGATGGGAGTACCAGACCATCTTATTTGTCGCTTGAGAAACCTATATGCTGGTCACACTGAGATCAGGACACGAAATCACTGTTTGGTTCAAAATTGGGAAAGAAGTCCAGCAAGGCTGTATACTGTTGCCCTGCCTATTTAACTTATATGCAGAGCACATCATGAAAAATGTGGGGTTAGATAAATCAAAAGTTGGAATTAAGATTGCCAGAAGACGTATCAACAACCTCAGATATGCAGATGATACCACTGTAATGGCAGAAAGTGAAGAGGAACTAAAGCGCCACTTGATGCAGGAACAAGAAGAGTGCAAAAGTCAACATTAAGAAAACTAAGATCATGGCATCTGGCCTTCTCAACTCTTGGCAAATAGATGGAGAAGAAATGGAGGTAGTGGCAGATTTTATTTTCCTGGGCTCCAAAATCACTGCAGAATGGGACTGCAGCCAGGAAATTAAAAGACGCTTGCTCCTGGGGAGGAAAGCTATGGCAAATCTAGACAGCAAAGACATTACCCTGCCAACAAAAGTGTGTATAGTCAAGGCTATGGTTTTCCAAGTTGCAATGTATGGCTGTGAAAGTTGGACCATAAGAAAGGCTGAGCGCTAAAGAATTGAGGCCTTTGAACTATGGTGCTGGAGAAGATTCCTGTGAGTCCCTTGGACTGCAAGGCGATCCAACCGGTCAGTCCTAGAGAAGATCAACCCTGACTGCTCTTTAGAAGGCCAGATCCTGAAGATGAAACTCAAATACTTTGGCTACCTAATGAGAAGGAAGGACTCACTAGAGAAGAGCCTAATGCTGGGAAAAATTGAGGGCAAAAGAAGTAGGGGACTACAGAGAAAGAGGTGGTTGGATGGAGCCATTGAAGCAGTTGGCGTGAGTTTAAATGGACTCCAGAGGATGGTAGAGGACAGGAAAGCCTGGAGGAACATTGTCCATGGGGTCGCGATGGTCGGACACGACTTTGTAACTAACAACAAGAGGTAGGAAAATTTAACTGGCTGAAAAATGGTACCTACTAATGGAACCTCCTATACAAGTATCTCATGGTTTTTCTCTAAGCATCAGTTCAGTGCAAAGGTGTTCATGGGTTCCTCAAACAGAGAAATTCTCTGCATGTACCTTTGTCTCAGTAAAGGTCTCTTTCACATTGACACAAAGCTGTAGTTCTGTATGTCCATGCCATTCAATATATAGAGGTGCAACTACTGATAGATCCTTTCAATCTCTTTCATAATCTTCTCCACTGTGAATCATTTAAAAACTATTGCAATGCTGGGTTTGAATTGCTCTACTGTAGAGAGTAAAGAAGGTGGCATTGAAGGAGAGACAGGAAAACCATTCCCAAGGGCAGGAAAAGGAAAATTTAGATTGAATCTGTGACATGTAGAAAGTGTACACAAACTTCTCAGCCACCTTCCCTATTTACACTATTATTTTAAAAAAGGAAGAAGCGGAAGCTCAATCAACTTGCAGGATGATGTTACTATAGCCAGTCCAAATAAAAATAATGTTTAGTTTTGTGTGAAGTTTATTTCTTTATCTTGTCTGCCTAGTAGCATTAACATCTGTGCTGAATTATTATACAACTCTGTATTCAATCTTAAGAACAGCTTCTAGTATGACAGGATATTTGGACCATCCTGATGGGGGAGATGTCCCACCTTTAAACTGAGGGGAGGTTGAACTTCCCTCTTTAGGACTGGTGCACAATTTGAGGAATCTTCTCAGATTTATTGTTCCTGCTCAAGGACAAGGTGAGTGGGGGCAGCTGTTTGAAACCAATTTAGGAGATAGCGTTTGTTTTTTCTGGACATTATTTTTGCAGTTGTGGAATGTTGTAATCTAAATGTTATATATTGTATCATGCTTAGGGTCATATTGGAGTTGAACAGTTGATACATTTAATAAATAAATAAACTACTAACAAAGACTTTAAAAACCCTATTTTTACATAGCAGTATGACAAAAGATGGAAGCTGAACAGTGAAAGTTTTACACAACAAATTTAAAGGCAAAGCTGTTGAAAATTCAGTATTTCGTGGAATCTGTGCTTTATAGCAAAGTCCTTGGTACTTTCTTCACCTAGGACTGAAGATGTTACCTAGTTGGCTAATGAAACTTCTAGAGGAAAACAACCACATTCAGAAAACACCAAGCATCCCACAGCTCAATTCTGAGCTACACATATTCTTTTCTAGTGGTTTATAGTACATATTAAGAAAACACTGTAATCCTAATAAAATGCCTTTTTAGGTACTAGCTTCAACCAGCTTTAGGAAGGTTGTGTATATTCCAATATATTTGTATAACTACAACAGCTGAAATACAATTAATTCCTAGACATGCATAGAGATATTTTATCAATCAACACTTATTAGGTCAATTTATAATATTTGCACAATAAGTGTTGAAAGAATCAAACAGAAAGGAATTAAAAAGCAACACATGAAAACTGAGAATATATCAGTCTTATATCCGGCATTAATACCAGAGGTATTTGTACTCTGTGGAAAAGAATGGAATTAAAACTCCATTAAGTTAGTCTTGGAGGAATACAGGGCATTATATGTGTTACCAATGACACAACTGTTGCCCAAATGGCTGCCTATGATCCTTGCCGTTATTCTTTGCCACAATTTATTTTCTCCTCAGTGCCTTCAAATGACAGGAGTTTGTGAAAATTGATTTCTTATTAACCCTTTTCCAAAAGCCATCATAGACAGATCAGGAGATGACTCCCAATAGGGAAACAAATCCCTTGACAAAATATTTATCTTTTCATTGATTTAAAACCTCATTCTGATAAATTGGCAGTACTGAGAAGCAGCTTTTAAACTCTGTAGTAAGAGCATCCCCTTGTGGGACTGAACATGGGTATGTTCATCGGTCCACAAATTGTTAACAATTAAATGCTTTTAGATTTAGTTTAATCTTCTGTCAACACTTTTGCATGATGCGAAGATTAAACAGAAGAAAACACACTTGAAAGAAGCTCACGTTACAAAGAAGCAACGGGAAGGGTAGGGGAGGGAAAGGCAGCACTTGCTCTTCATGACTGAACAAAAAATCTCTTTTTAAATTTATGTTGAAACTTTTAGAACACATTACTTCATTCATCCAGAATCCAGCCTGATTTTAGATCACTATATATTCTTATGACAAGCTGTTAGTGTTCTTCTCCCTCCTCCTTCACTGTTTTAAGGCAGAGAGCCTCAAATCATGGGGCTGCTAGAGAAGATGGGAGACTTTTTAGAAATATTTGCTCTCTTCCACTTTGATGTATGGAAGAAGTTATAAAACAAACTCTTCTGGTTACCCTCAGCTCATTAAATTCTTTCCTTCATTATCCCTCCTCATAGTCAAGGAAATGAGTCTCGTGTTTCACTGCTGGTCCTATTCTCCTTGGTTAGTGTTCATTCACTGGCCAAAAGCCTGACTTTAACAGATTAGGGGCAAAGTCAGTCACTCTGTGCAAAAGCAGATGGAAGAATATTTGCTATATGCTTCAAAGGCCGAGAGAGAGAGAGATAAAGAAAAGGACCTAAGGCTTCTGATATGACAGCAACCCCTGCTACTTCCATCACTCCTGTCTTCATGCTTTCCAATGCAAGCTGTGACAGATGATGGGGATTTTCAGTATGGAGTGAATGCAAGAAAGGTTTTGACAATGACATAAACGTCTGCCTAAGAACATTTTCTTCATCCTCTGATTCCTTCTGTCTCTCTAGGTATGACTGAGGCAAAGAGAAAAAGACTAATTCCTGCCAATAGTTATTCAGCCATATATTAGAAAATTGTACTGTGGCTGGTTAAAGCCTTTGCCGTTCAATGCCATGAATAAAATATGGTGCAAATGAAATCCTAGATTCAGAGAGTTGTTGAAATGAGCTGGTATCGTCTCTCATTCCCTGGGTTCAAATTCTTTCTCTTTCATGGAAGATCGGTCTGTGACTTTGGCCCTGGCCTACCCCAGAGTGTTGCTTCTGGGGCACTTACTAAACAAAGGACATCATTAGATCTGTATCCCACATCAAGCTTTTGGGAAAAGGTAGTATACTAATCTAAAAAAAATAAAAAAAATAATACAACCATATTGTCCTTTAAAATGAGCAAGTCCTTAAATGACATGCGGCAGTGCATCAATAAAAATCCCTGGATTTACAGATAGTTCTCCACTTGCAACAGTTCATTTAATGACTGTTCACAATTACAATGGAACTGAAAAATGTGACTTATGACCATTTTTCACAGTTACGAAGTTTTGCAGCATCCCCATGAACATGTGATCAAGATTCAGATGCTTGGCAAGTGGTTCATATTTATGACCTTTGCTGTGTCCCAAGATCATGTGATCCCCTTTTGCGACCTTCTGACAAGCAAAGCCAATGGGGAAGCCAGATTCACTTAACAACCAGATTACCAACTTATCAACCACAGTGATTCACTTAACAACTGTGGCAAGAAAGGTCGTAAAATGGGGCAAAACTCACTTAACTAATGTCTCATTTAATAATAGAAATTTGGGGCTCAATCGTGGTCGTAAGTTGAGGACTACCTGTACTTTATGTAAGGACGTACCCTAAATAGGACTCTCTTAGATGTGAATATTTTTATTTAAAAAACAAAGTTCTATTAATGGATGTTTAAGGCATGTTTTAAAAAGGTAGCATTGGGGAAGGAAGATGTTTACAGTAGAATACAAGACCTAAGTTAGTCCAAGACCCAAATGGATTCAAGCAGTTAGCTACCAGCTGGTACTGCTCACAAGGTCTGTATTGCAAAATTCTAAAATCATTAATCAACTCCTCTAATTTTGGTAGTAACTTAGTATTTCTAAAAAAATGTGAACTGAGATTCATCATAAGAAATTGTACAGGTGGAACTTTTCACTAAGAATTAAAGTATTTACCTGATCTACTGTAGTGGCATCAGTGATTACAACATCTGGTGGTCTCTTGGGGGCTTCCACTGTGACCTAAAAGAGACGAATGAATAAATGAATATAGAAGAAATAAAATGAAGAAACATTCTTTTTCTTTATGAAATGTTGGATGTTTGATAGTTTTACACAAATTGGTGAACTCTAAAGCTTTAACTAGAGTGGGCAGTTTCTCAGGTAGAGAGCTTGTACTGAAAATTACAAGAGGTAGTACTTAGAATATACTGTGTTTTCCCAAAAATAGGACTGGGTCTTATTTTCTTTTGACCCCCAAAATAAGTGCTTGGCCTTATTTTCAGGGAGGTCTTATTATTTTTGAGGTGCAGGAGGCGGCGACCGTGGTCACCTCATGGCTGCTGCTGTGTTGCAATATTTTCGGGGAGGGCTATTTTAGCACATGCGCCGGGGTGGATTCTAGCTGGCGTTACTGCAGGTTCGCTTGTGTGCACGCATGCACAGTTCAATGGAAATTGTTCTGTGCATGCGCAGAACTCCAAAAAAAGATGGCAACGGCAGCAACTGGGAAACTGGTTTGGGGGCACGGCCAGCCTGGGTGGCTGCTAGTTCTGCAACCCAGCCAGGCATACCACTACTGGTTCAGCTGAACTGTAGGAACCCACCTCTGGCATATGCTCAAAAGCCCTTATTATCCAGGGAGGTCTTATTTTCAGGGTAGATTCCAGGGGGCAACCAATTGGTCTTTAGGTATACTGCAAAATCTTAAACTGAGGTAATAATACATCAAAGTAAAATTAGTTCAAAGATCAGCAACCTGACCACCCTCCCTAAATAGCAAATGTTGTCAAGGTGCCCTACCATCCGCCCTGCTTAGCTCAACCAATGAAATAGATACATTTTGAGAGGCTGATGGTAGGGAGCATATTATACGCTGAACAGAACTTAGTGTTTAAAAAAATCAACTTCCAAGTGAGTGAACTGAATTCAGGGAGTAATTATTTTTTATGAGTGTTAAGTAATTGGCAGTACATTTGAAATTCAGTAGCCTAACACAAAACTCATATTACCTTGGCTTTCTCGGATGATCGCTTTCCACCAAATCCTCCAGCTCCAATAGCAAAGATAGAGAACTGATTATAGCACAAAAGATCCTTTCCATGGTATGTGTGTACTAGAGAGGAAGAGGAAGACAAAAAAGATGCCTTTTTAAATTTTAATTTTAACCTTGTTTTTTTTTTGAAAAAAATGAATAGAGTGGCTTGGGTGTTACACTTTTCAAAGGTAAAAAACTAAAATCATTGGGAGAGCATTAACTTCGCTGAAGGTCCAATCTGGAAGGAGAAATATTCACATGCTTTGAGCTTATATTATTATTCTATATTGTTTTGAAACTGATAGAACTATGACACTATAATGATTGATGATTCTTAAGAGATTCTTTTGCTATTCTAAACTCTATCACTGGCATATGAAATATATCATCATGACTAGAGCTATGAATGAACTGAGTACTGTGTGAGCTAGTTATAAAACACTAGAAGGGGAAGATTGGCTTCTGTATTACAACACTGGTAGGCAGAAATCTGGCTTATGGCTCAGGAATTCTGGGAGTTGAAGTCCGTAAGTCATACAAGGGCCCACCGCTGGCATAAGTAATGTGTATAGCAGCTGCTGGTTCATTATAGTATTGAGTTGTATTGTATTATATAGATGAGGGTTTTTTAGTTCTATGAAGGGCAAAAGAATGAACTAGAATTATTTCTCTGTCCTCAGAGGGAAGATAAGGAGGACATGACTATTCTGGCAATGTACAAGGACTGGACTAGGACAAATCAGAATTACTATAGATTTAGTTTCAATTTAATTATTTAACCAAAATCACTTTGTTGTTCTGGTACCCCCAGGATCTTACTTATTGACTCTATCGAGCTGGAAATCATGAATTTCACCCCATTCATTTCCAATGACAACCTCAACTTAGGACCGCAACTGAGCCCAAAATTTCTGTTGCTAAGCAAGACATTTTTCAAGTAAGCTTTGCCCCGTTTTACCACCTTTCTTGCCACATTTATTAAGTGAATCACTACAGCTGTGAAGTTACCTACAATAAGTGAACCTGGTTTCCCTATTGACTTTGCTTGCCAAAAGGTTGCCAAAGATGAACACATGACTCTGAGACACTGCAACCATCATAAATATGAGACAGTTGCCAAGCATCTGAATTTTGATCATGTGACCCCAGGGATGCTGCAATCGTTGTGTGAAAACTGGCCGTAAGTCACTTTTTTCATTGCTGTTGTAACTTTGAACAGTCACTAAATGAACTGTTGTAAGTCAAGTACTACCTTTATTACTCTATTTTTAGCCCTTATGTCAAGGCTTGGCATGTTCAGTTAAAGCCATACAGAGCTAATACTTTGGGACAACTGAACATCCCTAGTACATCTAGAGGAATTTAAGTTACATGAGGCTTTTCCATATGCTCTATCACTTTTCCCTCTGAGATCAGGAAACTAGCTACTGGTGAATATGCCAGCTCTATATCATTTTTGGTTTTGAATGTTTTTATTTTATTCTGACCTGACTATTTATATCAACTGGATGGAGACTTTATTCTACCTATTTGTTAAAATTTGTAGTTTGTTTTCATTGCTCATTTTAAGATTTCGACAAGCTATTGTAGGAACAGCTAAAAGGAATTGTAAAGGTATTTTAAATACAACAGATTACATTTAAAATGTATCAAGAATAGGGTTGTAAGTGAAAACAAGAATGTTTGGTTGGTGTAAGAGGTTCTAGGCTTCAATATGCCTTCTAAAAGTTTGGACTTCATAACTATAGCAATAGCAGTTAGACTTATATACCGCTTCATAGGGCTTTCAGCCCTCTCTAAGCGGTT